AAAAAAAAAAAAAAAAAATACCTAGCCACCTTTAATACACAACGATTCCACTTCTAAAATGCTATATCAAGGATATGTGCACGAATCATTGTAGCATCATTTACTCATATACTAGTGAACACTAAAAACTGTCCAACAAGAGGTCATTCATTGACATAGCCTTCAATATAATGGAACATTGTACAGTGTGTTACACATGAACTTTATGGACACTCTGTATATTAAATGACATAAATGCATATTTATTGACACGGAAAGATGTCCTTGATATATTACTATACTATATATAGTATTTAGTGCAAAAACAACTTTTAAAACAAGTTATCAGGGGCCAGGCCTAGCAACACATGTCTATAATCACAGCAATTTGGGAGGTCAGGGTGGGAGGATCACCTCAACCCAGGAGTTAGAGAACAACCTGGGCAATACAGTGAGACCCTGTCTCTACAATAATAATTTTGTATTCTTTGAGACAAAGTCTCACTCTATTGGTCTGGGTAGAGCATCATGGTACCTCACAGCAATCTCAGATTCCTGGGCTTAAGTGATCCTCTTGCCTCAACCTCCCGAGTAGCTGGCACTACAGGCACTTGTCATAATGCCCTGCTAGTTTTTCTATTTTTAGTAGAGACAGGGTCTCATTCTTGGCTCAGGCTAGTCTCTAATTCCTGAACTTGAGCAATCCACCCACCTCAGCCTCCCAGAGAGCTTGAATTACAGACATGAGACATCACGCTCCACCACTTGTATACATTTTTAATTTAAAAAATTAAACACCAGTTCCCTGGGAAAAGACAACCCATAAGGCTGTGATTGTAAAGTGGCAACTGGAGGAACATATTCAGTGCAGAAACATGCTTTGTTTAAGCCTCACTATAAATTCCCAAGAGATTGTATTAGAGAAGAAACAAGACTTCAGGAAAATTGTGATTAAAAATGCAGGAAGTAGGCTCGGCGCCTGTGGCTCAAGTGGCTAAGGCGCCAGCCACATATACCTAAGGTGGCAGGTTTGAATCCAGCCCAGGCCCACCAAACAACAATGATGGCTGCAACCAAAAAAATAGCCGGGCATTGTGATAGGCCCGGCTACTTGGGAGGCTGAGGCAGGACACTCACTTGAGCCCAGGAATTGAAGGTTGCTGTGAGCTGTGATGTCACAGCACTCTACCCAGGGGGACAGCTTGAGGCTCTGTCTCAAAAAAAAAAATAATAAATGCAGGAAGCAAGGCTGGGCACAGTGGCTCACACCTGTATTCCCAGCACTCTGAGAGGCCAAGGTGGGTGGATTGCTTGAGATCAGAAGTTCAAGACCAGCCTAAGTAAGAGCGAGATCCTCGTCTCTAAAAAATAGCCGGGCATTGTGATGGCACCTTGTAGTCCCAGCTACTCAGGAAGCTGAGGCAAGAGAATTGCTTAAGCCCAAGAGTTTGAGGTTGCTGTGAGCTATCACATCATGGCACTCTACCGAGGGCAACAAAATGAGACTCTGTCTCCAATAAAAAAAAAAAAAAAAATCCAGGAAGCAAGCCAGGCATGGGGTGGCTCATGCCTGTAATCCTAGCACTCTGGGAGGCTAAGGCTAGAGAATCCCCTGAGCTCAGGAGTTTGAGACCATCCTGAGCCAAAGCAAAACCCTGTCTCTACTAAAATTAGAAAAAAACTGAGGTTGCTATGAGCTAAGCTGACGCCATGGCACTCTAGCCCAAACAACAGAGTGAGGCTCTGTCTCAAAAAAAAAAAAAATTGCAGAAACAAAGATGGCTAAGTATGAGTTCCCAGCCATAGAGAGTACTCCAAGCTTACTGTCAATGGCTGGTAGGGCAAAAAGGTCTCAGGAGCAGTTTTCAGGAAAATGTAAAAATGTTTGCAGACCATCTAAGCTAGTGGTACTCCACTTCACCTCCTGCCTAGGCTAAGACAGTGTCAGTAAGTATACAAAGGCAGGGTATGTGACATGGACCCAGAGACCCTGGTGTAGGACAAGGAGCTCCCACACCCAAACAAATTGCAAGAATATAGGGTAACTATCAAATCAGAAGAAACAATTGAGATCAAATCAGCCATCAGGCAAATAGATATTCCCAAACACAAAGGATTATAGACCAGCAAAAGTCAGCAATTAAAGAAAGCCAGCACTCTGGGGCAGCACCCATAGCTCAGTGGGTAGGATGCTGGCCCCATATACTGAGGGTGGTGGGTTCGAACCTGGCCCCAGCCAAATTGCAACAACAACAACAACAAATAGCTGGGCGCTGTGGCGAGCACCTATAGTCCCAGCTAATCAGGAGGCTGAGGCAAGAGGATCGCCTAAGCCCAAAAGTTGGAGGTTGCTGTGAGCTGTAATACCACAGCACTCTATTGAGGATGACAAAGTGAGATTTTGTCTCAAAAAAAAAAAAAAGAAAGAAAGAAAGAAAGAATGAAAGGAAATCCAGCGCTCTGGAAGAAAGCTACCTAAGACCTAATAAATGAGGCATGGAAATGAACAGAATAAAGACTTTAAAAATAATAACAGTCCTAGAAAGAGTACAGAAGACTCTGCACCCATTAAGCAATAACCCATTATGAAAAAGAAGCAAACAGGTGTCTTAGTAAATAAATACAAGAATATAAATATAGAAATGTGATTTTTTTAATTTAATTTAATTTTTTTGAGACAGAGTCTCAAGTTGTCACTCCGAGTAGAGTGCCACCGCTCACAGCTCACAGCTACCTCAAACTCTTGGGCTCAAGGGATTCTCTTGCCTCAGTCTCCCAAGTAGCTGGGACTACAGGCACCTGCCACAATGCCCAGCTATTTTTTGGCTGCAGTTATCATTGTTGTTTAGCAAGCCCGAACC